TACATCTGGGTGGAGTGTTACCAGGAGTGGCCCTGAAGTCCCTTGAGCACTGCCTAGGGAGGACCACCCCCCTCCCAATGTCACATGCATACACACACACACACACACACACACACACACATGCACATGTACACCATATCGCACCATGAGTAGTTTCCTGCTGCAGAATCATCTAGAGCCTATTACATCCAGATTCCAGAGCACATTAACACAGATTTACAGGCTAGCGATTGTTGGCGACAGGCCCAGGTGGCCATCCTATTCTCCAGAGCTTAAGAACCATGGCCCTGGTGACTGAATAAAGCATTCTCCTATTATCAGGAAGGAGAAAGTGCTGATGTGGTTATTTTTGAGCATTTGCCGGTAGTGACCATAATATTCAAGTCAAATGGGCCCATTTTGTTGCAGTCATTTCCAGGGAGCCTGGAGGAATCTGGGCTTTGCAAAGGGTAATGTAGGACTCCCATGCACTAATCTTGGGAGAGGCCAATAAAGAGGCAGAAAAGATATGGTGGAGCCACATAAAGTCCAAGTTTGGCATCATTATTGCCCTTCACTTGGAGTCATAAAACAAGCAAAGGGCCACGTTCCGGCTTCCTGGAGAGGCTCACTGGGCCAAGGCCTCTTCAGTCCCTTTCAAGAGCCTGCGGCTTGAAGTGTGTAGAACTGGGGGCAAGTCTAGCCGCTTAATTGCAGCTTAATCATGTTAGCCCTTTTTTTAAAGTTTGACTTTCCTCTGTCATAAAGTAGACACCACAACCCAGCCAGCAGGAGTGTTGCTGAAAACTACCCAAGAAGAGGGCAGAGCGATAGCACAGCAAGTCAGGCTTTTACCTTGCATGCGGCTAACCTGGGTTAGATCCCCAGCATCCCATATGATTCCCCAAGCACCACCAGGAATAACTTATGAGTGCAGAGCCAGGAGGAACCCCTGATCATTGCTGGGTGTGGCCCCCTCCCTCCAAAAACAAAACTAAAAAACCAACAACAAAAATTACCTGAGATGTCGCTAACTCAGGTGTCTGGCACAGACTTGGTGCAGAAACACTGTGAAGTTTGGGCCGATACTAGACACTGCCCTGTTGTCCCAATAGGGACTCGGTTGAGTCCTTTGCTTGGCCCTTTCCTAGCCAGGGAAACGCACCCCCGAGTGGGGAGGTACAGCGCACCCACCATGGGGGCAGCTCCCCAAAGTAGATAGTCCTGTCCTCCAGGGGCACTGGGCCCAGCTAGGGGGCAGCAGGTAGCTCTGGGTGTGACTGGGGCATTTTCTTATTTGTTCACATAAAGAAGGCAGATTTCCAAGGCATGTGCAGAGTAATTTGTTTTCTGAGAAGAGGGGGGTAGGACAATTAAGTCTGGGAGGCTCTGACCTCATACCCCAGGTTTCTTTTGGAGAGGGGTGTTTGGGCCATGGACAGCTGTTCTGGGGGCTACTCTCAGCTCTGTGCTCAAGAGTCATCCACGCAGTGACTGGAGATCATGTGGTGCTGGGGATAAAATGGGGTGAAGGCAGATGCCTTAACCCTACAGTATGTCTCCAGCCCCCAGGATTCCTCGCTTCTCCTCCTGTGTTCCTTTCTTTTTTTTGTATTTTTTTAAATTGAATTTGGGTCATATCCAGCAGTACTATGAAATGACATCCAGTTCAATGCTCAGGGGTTGCTTGCAGTGGTCGCTTCCAGGGATTGAACCTGGGCCTCCTGCATGGAAAGTGTGCATTTAGCCACTGAGCTGACTGTCCAGCCCCTCATTAATATTCTGAGGCCTTCCAACTTCAATGATCGAGATCTCTCCTTGGACTACAGGAGAAGAGGCAGAGTCTGAGGACAGCTTGTGATGAAGGGATCCCAGGAGTCCGAGGCTCTTTAGAAGCCGGAGAGATAACACACATTAACCTTGTATGTGGCTGCCCCAGGTTCAATCCCTGGCATCCCATATGGTCCCCCAAGCACAGCCAGGAGTAATTCCTAAGTGCAGAGCCAGGAGTAACCCCTGAGCATCACTGGGTGTGACCCCCAAAGAAAAGACAAAACAAAGAAACAAAAAAAAAAGAAGCTTGGTATCTCGGGTGAGAGTTTCCAGCGAGCCAGAAGTGCATTTTGAGGACATAGAAGCACTGTAGCACTGTCTTCCCGTTGTTCATCAATGTTCTCCAGCGGGCACTAGTAAAGTCACCATTGTGAGACTGGTTGTTGCTGGTTTTGGCATAGCGAACACTCCACGGGGAGCTTGTCAGGCTCTGCCGTGCGGGCGGAACACTCTCGGTAGCTTGCCGAGCTGTCTGAGGGGGATAGAGGAATTAAGCCTGGGTCGGCTGCATGCAAGGCACACGCCCTACCCGCTGTGCTATTGCTCCTGGATATGGTAATTAGTGAAAAACTTGCCCTAAAGTTGGTGACTTTTCTATGGACACTGGAGTTCCAATAACCAAAGCCTCTGGGGAATGTTGTGAGGCCTTCCCTGGGAGGCCATGGCCACACCCTCCTTTCCTCCCTCCTAGGGTGTTGAAGGTTGCTCTGGGCTCTCCCAGCACAGCAGCTGTCAGGAGCGGGGCTGATCAGATCGGGGACCCCTACAAAGTGTTCAACAGGGCAGAAAAGCAGTGCCTCAGGAAAGCTCGGGTCCTCGGAGCTAAGAGGCTGGCTCTGAGAGCAAGAAACGGCCCATTCCTTGTGCCAGGTGAGGGCCAAGCGATTTATATTTACATGCCTTTAAAAATGAAAGCCTCATAAAATCCCTGTTTGAGGTTGAAGCTAGGCCCGCGGCAAGTGAGTACCAGGCTTCAGGTCTACCTCTAGTGGAATCTATAGTAACTAGTAGCTTGTGCATGTGGTAAGAAAGGGGAGTGAATAATAGTAAATAATGGACTTCAAGGGAAATACATATATATGCATATATATTTATATAATATATTCACATATATAGGTTCACTTTCATGGGTGCTTAGGCTCCAAGCTCCTGGCTCTGTGCTCAGGGGTCTCTCCTGGTGGTGCTTGGGGACCATATTTGGTACCTGAGATCAAACCCAGGCTGGCCACATAAGGAAGTGCTGTAACCCCTGTACTAGCTCCCTGGCCCCGGGATAGATCATTTACCCCCAGATTTACAGATGAGAAAGCACCAGAGGTTAGCATTGGCCCTATAAGGTCAGGCCCCATGCCAAACACTTGACCTGTTTTCACCCCTCAACCATCATAAACTCCCTACAAAGTGAGCAACTTAATGACTCCCATTCCTGTCGGCAAGGCAGCAGCCCTGGGTCTCCAGGCTGTGCGAGAGCTTTACAACCAGGCTTTTAGCTTGAGTTGCCAAGTAAGGACTGAGATGTGGGCGAGCTGGGTCAGAACCCAGGACTCCTGACTCCCAGGCTCCAGGTAGGCGCTCAATTGGAATTCATTGTTCCTTAAAAGCGTGCTGGCCTGCAGCCCAAAGAGTGAAATCACACCCCGCGGTTCTGGGAACCACGCGAGCTCTGGCTGCTGTGGTGTTCAAGTCTGAGCAGGTGAGCTGGGGACTCTCCCTGCTTTCCCCTCTCGCTGGGTGGGGTGGGAGGAGGGCAGGAGACTCGCCTGCCCAATAGGACGGGGCGAAACCTTCCCGCCTTCACGCCTTTACCCAGGCTGTGCCCTGTCTCCGTCCAGCATACACCATGAGGTGAGTTCAAGGCTGGCGTCAGCACGCCTGACCACTGGGACACTCCAAGTGTACCTTGCCTTCAGCTGGGCCACTTCCTTATCTGCACAAGGCATGGGATCACTGCTGCAGGGTAGTAGAAAAACTCTCCAGGGTTTTCTTCTTCCAGTTAACACATTACTAAGCGCCTACTATGCACCAGGCACTAGGGGTAACAGCAAATAGATGCGAGTCCAGCATGCAAGCGTCCTTCAAAGACTTCTCTTTGAAGTAACTGCAAAATGGCCACTATGGGGGGCCAGAGAGATAGTACAGTGGGTAGGGTGCTTGCCTTGCATGCAGCCAACCCAAGAGGGTTCAACTCCCAGCACCCCATATGTTCCCTGAGCCCTCCAGGAGTGATCCCTCCGCACAGAGCCAGGAGAGAGTCCTGAGCACAGCTGGGTGTGGCCCCCAAACCAAAAATAAATGAGTTTTCATTAAAAAGAAAAAAATAAAGGCCACTTTTACCTAGTTTTAAAGGCAGAGCACTGCAGGTTTCGGTACTGGTGTAGGAAGTGGAAGGGGCGAGGGGTGTTGTGCGGGGCTGGGTCAGTATCATACGGAGCGGTGCCCCTTAGAGATGCCGAGAGTGTGTGGAGGCCCATTGTGGGAAGGTTCATCTAAGAAACTGAGGCCTATGGCCCTAGACGAGCAGGCGTGAGCCAGACTCTAAAGGCATGTGTGTCAAGAGAAATGATTAATTTTTGGAAGAAGGGGAGGGAGTCGGAGAATAAGGGAATGGGAAATCGGGAGGGGGGGTTGTAAAATTTAACAGAATATGGGTCAGCGCATCTTTCCAGGAAAAGAGAAAAATGCCGCCTCCTCCGAGGAGCCTCCCTTGATATCTCAGTCCTAGGCCTATGGAACTTCCCCCCACCGCCGCGGGCTTGCAGTCAGGGCCTGAGGCTTAAGCCCCCGGGGAGGCCAGACGTGGGCGTCCTCTTCCCACCCCTGGGGTCCTCCGCGGCAGGTCCCGCGGCCGTCCGCTCCCCGGGCCTCAGTTTCCCCCGCCGCGCCGAGCAGGTTGTCTCGGAGGACCCGCCCCGCGCTAACGCAACGTGATTCGCCGGGGCCGAGCGGGGAGGGCTGCCCGCATTGCTGCGCAGGCACCGGGCGGTCGGCGGGGGCCCGTCCGCCGGCCTGGGGCGCTCTCCTGGGGGGCGGCGGGCGAGGATCGCGCCCCCGGCCGTGGCGCAGAGGCGCGGGCGCGACCCCCGCGGGCCCGCAGCCGGCCGCCCTGCGGCAGCCGCGCCAGCTCCGCCCCCCGCGGCCGCGCCGGCCGCTCGCGCCGCCCCCGCCGCCCGCCCGCCCGCGCGCGCGCTCCCTCCCGGGCCGGCTCGGCGCTGACTCCGCCGCACGCTGCAGCCGCGGCTGGAAGATGGCGGGGACCGACTGCGGCGCGCTGCTGGACGACGAGCTCTCCTCCTTCTTCCTCAACTATCTGGCCGACACGCAGGTACCGGCCCGGAGGGCCCGGCGGCGGGGCCGGCCGCCGCCGCCGCAGGGACCGGGAGGCGGCGCGGGGCGCAGCGGGGATGGATCGCGGGTTCCAGGCTGCAGAGCCCCCCCTTCTTGGCGCCCTGCGCTGCGCTCCGCTACGGGGGCTGGGGGAGTTGGAGGTTCCCCCCGGCCCATGCGTGCCGGAGGGCTGGGGGCGCTCCGGCCGCAGGGGAGGGTCCAGTCCTGGCCGCCGGGAAGTCCGTTCCCCCGCCGGTAGGGCTGGGGCGCGGGGGTGGGGGGACCGCGTTTCCTTGGGGAGGTGGGGCCCGGCCAAGGTGTGGGGGGGACCCCCCGGCTGGCTGTAGGTGCCGGAGGCGCGCCCTCAGGCGCCCGGCACTTGCTGCCGTACTTTCACGTGGACTTGTGGCCCCGGCACGGGCGCCTGCCCTGGTCCCCGGAGTCTCCGGTGCTCCGGCCTCCGGTCCCCCGCGTGCTGCTGCCGGCCCCCCGCCGCTTCCCATCCGAGCCCGCAGCGCGGAGTTTCCTGCCATTGGCCGACTAAGGGCAGTCGGGGTCCGCGGGGCACGTGGACCTTCCCGGTCTCGCCCTCCGGCGGCGCCCCCCCAGAGGAAAAGCGCGTCCGGATGGGGGCGGAACGACTGTCTGGGGGCGTCTGGGTCCCCCTGCGGCGCGCGGCCCCGGTGCGCGCTCGGCGTTGCGGGGGGAAGGGAAGTCGAGGCGGCGTCCCGGGCTCTGGCTGCGCCTGGGAGCCCCGCCGGCGACACGCGCGTGACAGGAGAGGGTGCTCTGGCGTGCCCGGGGTGTGTGTGTGTGTGGTGGGGGGGGGGGGCGCTGGCAGGAGGGGGGAGAAGCTGGTGACTTGGAGACGGGTGGATGGGGTTGCTGCAGGAATCAGCTGCCGCCGCATCTGCCTTGCACTCGCTGTGCGCGCCCCCCGCCGCAGCCCCTGTATTTCCCCCCCACCCCCCCCACCCCATGCCTGTTGCAAGCGTAAAGTTTTTTGCCCCGGAGTTCGGCTTTTGCGGCGGGCTCACGGCTGCGGGGAGCCGGGAGGCTGGGGGTGCGGCGGAGCCGGGAAGGAGCCCCCCGGAGGCGGGCGCACGCCGGGGGCGCAGAGAGGGGCGGCCGGGCGGAACCGGGCGCGGCTCGCGGGGGCCGGTTCGGTACCTGGAGTGGGAGTGCGAGTGCCGGCTGGTTTTGCATAACACTGGGAGGGAGGGGGGCCGGCCGGGGGTGGGCGGTGGGAGGGGAGCGAGGGAAACTTTGCTGCTTGTTATAATCGGCCTGTCTCGGGGCGGCAGCAGCTGTCATGGGACCGGGTGGGCGGGGAGAGGCTGGCAAGCTGATCCCGGCGCGGAGACGCGACTCGGAGGGGACGCGGCGGCCGAGACGGTCTGCGCCCGGCGCGCTCGGGGCCGGCGGCGGGGCCCGGCGCGGCGCGTGGCGGGCTGTCTGTCGCGGGGAGCAGGCCCCGGGGCTGCGGGGGAGCCGCGGGGCGGCGCGGCGGCGGCCGTCGCGCTCGGGTGGGTCCGCGGAGCACGGCGAAGGCGCGGGCGGCTGCGAGCGCGCGTCCCCGGGCGCGTGGGGGCGGGGAGGGTGCGTGTGCGCCCACGGGCCGCCCGTGCACACGCCGCGCGCGCCGGGCGCGTACCTTTACCTCTGACGAAACTGCGGTGGAGCTCGCCGCCCGCGCCTGTGTCTGCGCCGGCGGCCGCGCCGGGCCCCGGCCCCAGCCGATGCGACCCGCCCGGGGCCGGGGGCCGCCGGGGTCGTGCGGGCCGGGCGGTGTCGCGCCGGGGAAGGTGCGCTCTGCACCCTCCGCGCCCGCCGAAGGAGACCCGAAAGAGCCCCAGCTGCGTTTAGGGGACCCCCCCCACCAGCCGGATGCCTGCGCCCCGGGACCCCAGGCGCAGCGTGGGGCTCCGCCGTCCGCGTACTTTGGCTGGCCCATAATTAATCATTTGCCTTTTAGCCGCCCCGCGGGCCCGCCCTGCAGGGTTCACCCAAGGAAACTAGAAAATTGGGTAATCAGGTGTCAGCAGAAGCAGCGCAGTGAAAGTTAATCTGGGACGTTTGCTTTTTTTATTCAGCCACGTGACCCCCGAGGCGCTGCCGCCGATCCTCGCCGGCCCAACTTGGGAAGTTGTAACTGATAGGGGGAGCTTCGCGGTCGCCCCTACAAGGTCTCGAGTCCAGCCCGACAGGACCTGGGCGGGCCCGGCGGGCCGCCTTATTTTACATTTGGGGATAGAGGCTGTGAGGCGCGAGCGGCTTGGACAGGACCACGCAGCCAGCGGGTGACAGAGCCACCCAGGGCTCCTGACTCCAGGTCCTGTGTGTTACCTCGAAATAGCACTGGACTTGGAGTCAGAAGGCCTGAGTGGAGTCGCCTTCCCCACTCTCTGGCTGCGTGACCCCGGAGCAAGCCATTTTTGACCCTCCAAGCCTCTCTTCCTCCATCTGTCAAATGGGGCTGGTCTTGCCCCACTGATGAACAGACCAGACTGCCCGTGGTGGTGGGGGTGAGCTTCTCTCTTGCATGTGAGCTGTCTGGGAATCTGCACCTTCCCCTCCCCCCCCACTCCGCCCCCCTCACCGCCCCTCCCCTCCCGTCCCCTATCTCCCCAGTTTGGAAGGGGTGGGGAAAGTGAATCAAAAGGTAACTTATTATAATTTAACCAAAAGACTTGGGTTATCTTTGGTGGATAATCCAGGGCGAGATAGGGGGACGACTTCTGTTTTAGGGGAATTAACTTTTACCCTTTTGGGCCAAAGTTCAGAAATTCAGCAGAGCAAGGATTGGGCAAGTTTGGTGGAAAGAGGACTGTATCCCTAAGGACAGTTCGCTGTCTGCCTGTAGCACCCTTTCTGTCGCCCAGCCTGTACCATCTTTTCTAAAGGCATTTCCCCCCTGCCCCTTATCCTGTTCTCTCTCCCCGTTGCTTGTCTTTGTTGGTTACACAACCAAGCATTTTGTATGTGAGTCCTGTGTCCCAGTAAGAGTCTAGAATTAGTTGTGTCTTTCATCTCTTTGTGTCCTCGTGGCACCTGTCAGGGTGCTGAGTGCCTTTGCTCAGCTCTTGGCTAGGCACGTGAGTTCAGCCACAGAGACTGCCGGGCATGAGAAAGGGAGGGTGCGGGGTGAGGTGGAGAGTACAGAGGGCTGCAGCTGTGGGCATTGCCACCCAGCAAGGCCCACACTAAATATGGATTTAGTGTTTCCTGGGACATCAATCATATGTCAGAGTTGATAAGAACTCTGTAAGCCGTCTAGCTCGACCCCTTATCGTCTAAGAATATTTCATTATAGAACTCTTAGAAAGGATTGGTTTCCATTAAGAAAAGAATGGAAACTGTCATCTTACCCAAAGGGTAACTAGCCATCTACTGTTCATTTTCATAAATATTTCCAGGCTTTTGGGGTTCTTCCTATTCTTTACAAAAATGAAGTCATTCTTTGTTTATTCATTGTAATTGGGAATCACGTTGTTGAAACTTGCTTTTTTTTTTTTTATCGTCCAGACCACTATGCTGTTTGACCTTCTTGCCATATCAATAAATGTTCTACTTAAAACCTGGGTGGTTTGATAGTATTTCATTGAGAGTTAAACCAACTGTATCCTTGACTATCAGCCATTCACGTTGTTGATGGATGTATTGGCTATTGTAAGTCATATTGAAATGACTATCTTCGCGCATGTGTCTCTTTTCATTTGAATTCCTAGAAGGGGAATTACTCTGTCAAAGGAACTTTGCAGGCATTTGGTAAACACATTTGTGGGTTGCCTTCTAGAAAGATTGTGATAATGTACACACTTATCACCGCTGTGTAGGAATGTTGATTCCCCATACCCAGAAATCTCTTGGCATTTTTTCATTTTGCCAGTCTGTTCATCGATAAATTCTGCCATTCACATTCTACTACGCATCTCTTTGATTCCTTGTGAGGCTGAGCCTTTGCCTCAGAGGGTGATGGGCCATTGTGGTTCTCTTTGATGAAATACCAGGTGTGTGAACTTGGCCCCTTTTCAGCAGCTAGACCCCTGAGAGTTCTAAATCTGAATCTGAACTTCCAGGAAGGGGACCCTGCCACATATGCCACATGATGACGGGAGAGAGTGACTGGAAGTTCCAGTGTGCACTTGAGAGGTTTGGAACGCTGCTGCCGAAGCCAGGACTAACTTTCCCAAGTCCAGTTCCCCCGTCTGTGATGCAGGTCACAGGGCAGCATTTGCTGGGTGCTGGGGCCACTCTTGCCCTGCGTGAAGTCAGGGCCAGCAGGCTCGCCTGAACTTGGACAGGCCATGGTCCCTGGCTATGTTTCCCTGATTCTGGGCCCCATGGTTGCTGGGTTTTTGGGTGTTGCTGGTAGCTGGGATACCTGTGAAACCCAGGAAAAGCAATGGCCCCAGCTGGGGGGGGCATATTTGCCCTTCTTTGAGGAGCTGTCCCCTCCCTGCAGGCCTGCCAGGACCCCCACCACTGCCAGCATGTAAGCCGCTTCTTCCTTCTCTCTGGAGTGACAGAAGGAACTCTGGTTGGAGTCAGAAATGACCTGGTGAATGGGGACTTGGATGTCCAGTGACAGCCTTGAGTGCTACTCTGTGTGCTCTGCGGTGCCTTCTCCTGGCCTGACATCCTTCCAGTTTTACCCAGCCTCCACGGAGGCAAATGCTCTCTTGTTCATCCCATTTTATGGACGAGGTAAGAGAACCCCCTGACTGGTAAAGAAAAGCCTCTTGTAGCGCTGTCGGAAGCAGAAGAGCCAGGATTAATTCTGGTCAGTTGTGGGTTCCTGATTTCCAGCCCCTTGTGTGAAGGACGGCATGTGGATAGAGAGAAGACAGAACTCCGAAGTCCTGATGCTCTCGATCTCATTTTCTAATTCTGAGAAAGAATCCAAGACCAAAGGTTGGGAAGGAATGAATACACATACAAGCATTAGCTTGGAATTTTACATGTATTATATATGATAGGATGTAACACTGTAGCGCT